TCTTTTTACTTCTTCCCTGCATGGTTACCTGGACGTACCAGCAGTCCCTGTACTACTGACACTCCAGTGTCCCAGACCCATGACTCTGTGCCGGTAATTTCTAATAGGAATCCGTAGCTACTGTCTATATTATCATGTGCCTTCTTCAAGAAGATCTCCTGTTCTCTACAAACTGGACATGAAGCTCTTTTTCTCGGAAGGGGAAGAAGAATGGTCCTTGACTCGTCTCATTGATGGGAAGAGTTTTAAGGGCAGCATATCCCAGACACTTAACAGTTCATTTTAATTCTAATATCCACTCATTCCACAAAGTGTTTCCCGAAGTTTGTTCCACTAAATAATAGTTTTTCCAAAATGTTTAGTGAATAAAATAGACTAAGGTCAAATAATTTTGAAAAAAATATGTGTATTTTGAAAATGTCTCCCTCTTAGAGATTTATGTTCACTAGTATATTCAAGGTGCTGAGAAGTCATGAGGTAATTTGTTTACCTGGCTTTTTCAAATATATTTGACTCAATAACCACCTTTTCCACATAAGACCCATTGACATCCACCAACTTCCTGAGGAAAGGCTGTCCTTGACAACATAGGAGCATCTGGTTTCCTAATTGTTACAATGAGGATCAATCAATAACTCTAACCTGTTTCAAGGAAATAATCCAAAATTAAAAAAAAAAAAAGCTTATAGAAGTTAATCACAATGTTGTTTGTAATAGCAAAAACCTGGAAACAACTAAAATATTTTAAAATAGGGATTGAGAAAATATGTAATGGTGCAGCCATGTCAGACTATCATGTAGCCACTAACAATATTTATGAATAATTCTTTTTTTTTTTTATTTTTTAACGTTTACTTATTTTTGGGACAGAGAGACAGAGCATGAATGGGGGAGGGGCAGAGAGAGAGGGAGACACAGAATCAGAAGCAGGCTCCAGGCTCTGAGCCATCAGCCCAGAGCCCAACGCGGGGCTTGAACTCACGGACCACGAGATCATGACCTGAGCTGAAGTCGGACGCCCAACTGACTGAACCACCCAGGCGCCCCTTTATGAATAATTCTTAAAAACCTATGAAATTCATCTAACTATACATTAAGTATATTCAATTTTTAATATATCAATTATACCTCAAAGCTGTGGGGTTTTTTAATTCTTTTTTTAATGTTTACTTATTTTTGAGAGAGGAAGAGAGACAAAGCATGAGTACGGAAGGGACAAAGAGACAGGGAGACACAGAATCCCAAACAGGCTCCAGGTTCTGAGCTGTCAGCACAGAACCCGATGGGGGCTCAAACATATGAACCGCGAGATCATGACCTGAGCTGAAGTCAGACGCTTAACTGACTGAGCCACCCAGGCCACGGTACTTCAAAGCTGTTTTTAAAAAAAGCTGGGGCACCTGGGTGGTTCAGTCAGTTAAGCGTCTGACTTCAGCTCAGGTCATGATCTCGCGGTTCATATGTTCGAGCCCCCATCGGGCTCTGTGCTGACAGCTCAGAGCCTGGAGCCTGTTTGGGATTCTGTGTCTCCCTGTCTCTCTCTCTCTCTGCCCCTCCCCAACTCATGCTCTGTTTCTCCTAAAAAATAAACATTAAAAATATTGTTTAATTTAATAAATAAATAAATAAATAAAAGTTATGAAAATGTAAAGTGTCAGGTGAAACACTTGTATATATAACATGTTCTCAACTACACACAAAATATTCATAGAAAAAATATATGATTTAAATGTCTTCTGGGTCTGGTAATATTATACACTAGAGCTTCTAAAACCTTTTGGTATATAGTATCTAAAAACACTTGATATAATATTTTTAAGGCCTCCTTTTAGGCGGCTTGATGAGCCTGTAAGAAAGCAAGGAAAGGCCAATGAAATTAGGAAGTCGGTCAAGGTAGCAGAATAGTGAGTTTTTAAGAGGCTGACAACCTCAGAATAGTCTAAAGTAGTCTAGAATGATAGTTCTTAGCAGAGAAGGCATTGACCCCCAGGGGGCAATTATGAAATAACTGGGGGCATTTTGGGTTATCACAATTAGAGGCCACTGTTGGTATCTGACAGGTGAGGGGTCAAGGATGCTAGATGTCCCGAAAAGTACAGGGCAGTTCCTCACAACAAAGAATCGTCCTACACTCCTTCATGATTTTCAAATGAATCTTTGGCCATCGATGTAGGTGAAACACATGCTTATAATCATTTGAGCCTAGAGCCTAACCCTGCATTACATGATTTTAATACATGCAGAACTTTTCAGGAATTCAACCACTGTGTAAATCAAGGGAAAACGAAACTTTGTTTTATTTGGAAATTTGTCAAGGATTGTTCATCATTTTGGAAAACGACATTGCCAATAGCATTGCCACTATGTTATTCAAGTCACCAATACAACATACATGGATCACTTCTAGTGTTTATGAATTTGGTGAATCTACATACAGGAGGTGAGCACTTAATTACTTTGTTATGTCTTCTAGTACAGGGGAATTTGAACATTTATATATTAAAATACTTAAAATTTTACTACAAACTAGTTTTATATTATTTCTTTATATCACATTTATGGCATAATTTATTGATTTTGGTTGAAATGGTATGGAATCATATGCAGTTGTCTACAAATTTCATTCTGATGATCTAAAGGAACATTACAAATTATTTGCTATGGGAGGGGCATGTGGGTGGCTCAGTCCATTGAGCGTCCAGCTCTTGGTTTCAGCTCAGGTTATGATCTCACAGTTCACGAGTTCAAGCCCCGTGTCAGACCCCACATGGACAGTGCAGAGCCTGCTTGGAATTCTCTCTCTCCCTCTCTCTCTCCCTCTCTCTCTGCCTTTCCCCTTCTCGCTCTCTCTCGCAAAATAAATAAATAAACTTAAAAAAAAAAACAAATTATTTGTTATGGGGGCAGTCTGATGAGATTGAAAATCACTGCAGTATATAATCCCTACAACTTGCTTTTCTTATTTTAACAATAAGACAGAATTTTTGCATATTTAGCTTTAAGGCACCATAGTTTATATAAATACTATTAATGACCACATAGCTTATTTCCAATTTTGTGATGTTAGAAACAATGAATGTAATTAAATCTTCCCACACACATCTTTGTGCACAGGTGCAAGCGTTTCTCAGGAATAGATATTGAGAAGTGAAGCTGCTAAATCAAGAGTACATATCTTTTACCTTTTAAAAGGCCCTGCCAGATCTCTTTCTAAAAATGCATTCAACTTACATTCGCACCAATATTGTATAAAATAACCTTTCCCCACATGTGTTCCTTCCTAACACTTAACTTTTTCTATCTTTTTAATATTTATAAATCTTTGGAGATAAAATTGTTTCTCATGTCAAGTTGCATTTTCCTAATACTAGTCAAGTTGATTGAACATCTTTTGAAATGTTTCTGAGCCACTCTACTGCCTTGGTTAATTGGGATTTCATATCTTTTGTCCATTTTTAATTTTTGGTTGACTTTTAGGAGTTCTTCATATATTCTAACTATAAATTATTTGTTTAACATATATGTCAGAGATTAACTTTCTCTTATTCTGTTTTCTATCTTTTAATTGTGGTCATACAGATGTTAAAAATTTTGATATAGTCAAACTTATCACCGTTTTCCTTTATTGCATTATTGGGTTTGATTTTCTTTTTTTGGGGGGGGGTTGATTTTCTTAAAGAAGGCTTTTCCTAATCTAGATATCATTTTATTTTTGTTTTAATTTTTTTTTTACATTTATTTATTTTTTGAGAGACATAGAAAGACAGAGCACAAGTTGGGGAGGGGCAGAGAGAGAAGGAGACACAGAATCCGAAGCAGGCTCCAGGCTCCGAGCTGTCAGCACGGAGCCTGACGTGGGGCTCGAACTCAACAAACCGTGAGATCATGACCTGAGCCGAAGTCAGATGCCCAACCAACTGAGCCACCCAGGCACCCCTAGATATCATTTTCAATGGACACATAATATTCCATTATATGGATGCACCATGATTTATGAAATTCTCTCTCACTATTGGAAATTTAGTGATGGGCTGGTCCATCCTTTCACTAATATAAACAATGCTGTGAAATACAACTGAGTATTCTACTTGATATTTCTTTTTAAACATTTTTTTAAGTTTATTTATTTATTTTGAGAGAGAGTTTGAGCAGGGAAGGGGCAGAGAGAGAGGAAGAGAGGGAAAATCCCAAGCAGGCTCTGTGTTGCCAGCAAAGATCCCAATGAGGGGCCTGAACTCATGAACCATGAGATTATGACCTGAGCCAAAACCAAGAGTCCAACTGCTTAACCAACTGAGCCACCCAGGTTCCCCTCAACTTGATATTTTCAACATATTTTCAGGCCTAGCACACAGCGCAATAAATAATTTCTAGAGGGGGAGGGGAGAAAGGCAGGAAGCCTTTTCCACCCTACATTCAAGGTTTGTTTAAAAATGCAGCCCACTGGGGATCTGAGTGGCTCAGTAGGTTGAGCCTCTGACTTCAGCTCAGGTCATGATCTCACAGCTTCTGAGTTCAAGCCCCCATCTGGCTCTGGATCCTCTGTCTCCCTCTCTCTCTGCCCCTCCCCAGCTCATGTGCATGCTCTCTCTCAATAAATAAACATTAAAAAAAAAATTACAGGGGCGCCTGGGTGGCGCAGTCGGTTAAGCGTCCGACTTCAGCCAGGTCACGATCTCGCGGTCCGTGAGTTCGAGCCCCGCGTCGGGCTCTGGGCTGATGGCTCAGAGCCTGGAGCCTGTTTCCGATTCTGTGTCTCCCTCTCTCTCTGCCCCTCCCCCGTTCATGCTCCGTCTCTCTCTGTCCCAAAAAAATAAATAAACGTTGAAAAAAAAATTAAAAAAAAAATTACAATGCAGCCCAATGTCAACCAAATTATTGGGGAATTAGCTCTAATTCTACTTCTTCTTTGGCCATCTAATCAAGAGTTGACTCAGCCTCCCCCTAAGACTGCCCTTCCACAGGGCAACACTACATCAGACACACCTTTAATCACATACCTGAGTCTACCTTCCTATTCTGACTTCGGTTTTCTGGTGCCACTTTGCTTGGCGAGTCTTCAAGGTTTAATTCCTGGAAGATGGTGAATGGCTCTGAGAAGATGAGGCAGGGGGAAGAGAAGCCTCATACCCAGGAGGTTGGATTGCCACAGATTTGCCAGACCCAGCTCTAATTCCAGCAGGTGAAACTTCATATCCTGGAGGTGGGGCTTGATTTCCAGCCCCTGGGTTTTCACTTCCAGTCGGTAAGGTTTCGTTTCCAGCTGGGAGGGCTCCGTATCCCACAGGCAGGGCTCTGTATGCTCCTGGTGGGGCTCCAGATCCCACAGGTGGGGGTCCGTATCCTGCTGGTGGGGGTCCGTATCCCCATGGCAGGTGTCTATATTCCACCTGTGGGGGTCCATATCCAGCCTGTGGGGATCCATATCCTGCCTGTGGGGGTCCATATCCTGCCTGTGGGGATCCATAGACAACAAATGGGTATGCTGAGAAGGAAAAAAAATCAGTTACTCATTTTTTAGAGTGGACAAGGAATAGGTAAGAAGGAGAAAGACAAAAAAACTATGTTGAAGCCAACTGACACAGGATGAGAACTCAGGCAGAGTAATGCTAAAGCCAGATCCTTCACCAGGTGAAGGCTTTATCATTTCCTGTTGTGGAGGGATTCAAATTAACATGAAAATATCCCTACAGTTATATCTCTACATTACTTATACTTGTGCTCAGATACATATTTTACTTAATAAATGTTATTTGATTATGAAGAAAGTAATACATGCTCAATGAGGAATATGTATTTGGAAAATAGAGAAAAGATGAAATTTAAAAATTACCTGTAATTCCACTATCAAAGACAAAAACTTAGTATTTTGGTATATTTCTTTGTAGGATCTGTTAATATTTTTTATACAATCACAATCATAACAACCATACAACTTTTTATCTGGCTCTTTTTACTTGGCATTATAAAAAAGTCTTTACATTATTAACACTTCATAAATTAAAAGCTGAACAACATTTTATCACATGGATAGGTGCTACGTAATTCCCCTGTTCTAGAAGAGTGCGTCGTTTCCAACTTTCTGATTCATATTACAATAATCATGGGTTGTATTTATCTCCTTGGCTACAGTCCCAAAGTGGTTTAATGAGCCAATGAATGGACAACTGTCGAGTTATTTTGCTGTAATCCATTTTTATGTTTGAGCTAATTAGAAAAAACTTTAAAAGAACTGTCTTAAAGATGCTCAAAGGCTAAAGGAGAATGTGAAGAAAGTCAAGAAAATGATGTATGCACCAAACAGAAATATCAGTAGAAGTGGAAAACTTAACAAGAAACCAAAGCAAAATTCTGGAGCTGAATAGTATGATAGCTGAAAAGAATTCACTAGAGGGGTTCAAATTCAGATTTGAGTAGGCAGATGAATGAATCTGTTAACGTGAAAATAGAACAACAGAAAGAGCAGAGATTGAGAAACAGCCAGAAAAAAATATTGAAGAAGAGTGAACAGAGCTGAAGGACCTGTGGGACGCCATCAAGCAGACCAACATACACGCTGTGGAAGTCCCAGAAGGAGGAGAGAGAGAAAGGGAGAGAGTAAATATCTAAAGAAATGATGACTGTGCACTTCCCAAACTGGATGAAAAACATGAATATAAACATCCAGGAAGCTCAATGAGCTTCAAGTCAGATGAACTCATACAGATCCAACCGAGATGCATTCTAATTAAACTTCCAAAAACCAAAGATAAAGAGAGAATCGTGAAATCAGCAAGAGAAAAGTGAATCACCCAGATACAAAGGATCCTCAATAAGACAATTAGCAGGCTGCTCATCAGAAACTTTGGAGGCCAGAAATAAACTGTCAAACAAGAGTCCTCTATTTGCCCAAACTCCTTCAAGAGTAAGGGAGAATGAAGTTGTTCCCAGATAAACAAAAGCTGAAGGAGTTCATTACCACCAGACTGGCCCTGCAAGAAGTGCCTCAGGGAGTCCTGCAGGGTGACCTGAAAGCACACCAGACAGAAATTTGAAGCCATATGAAGAAATGAAGATCTCAATAAAGGTAAATCACTGGACAATTATAAAAGCTAATATTACTATTAACAATCGCTTATAATTCCATTTTTTGTTTTCTACATAATGCAAGAGACTAATGCATTTAAAAGAATTATTAGATTATGTTTTTAGGCATACAACATATAAACACGTCACTCTGTGACATCAGTTAGTATACAAAACAAAAAGCCAACAGACATGCATGTCATGCTCCAAGGAGAACCCAAGGAAGGGCCGCGTTTGGGGGCCCATCGGCAGCCTGTTAGGAAACCCTTTGTGGCCCACCAGTAGGCTGTGGACCACATTTGAGAATCACTGTGGACAGGCACAACTGTTAGAGGGTACAGAGCATAAAGCCGGAGTCCTCAGTGAGGTTGAAGGGCATGGCATAAGCATGATGGCTATACGTGTGTGAAGCTGGAAGGGGGAAGTGGGCAAGAGCACACATTTTCTGCTCAGGCTATATGCAGGAAGGGACTGCTCCCACTAATGGAAGTTGCCCAGCTATACTCTGTATGTGTACGTTACAGTTAAAAGTAAGCCTGAAACTGAAGCCCAGTCACTTGCTGACATGCCACTGGGTTTCAGTCTAGAAACAAAGTCATGGACTTAACCATTTTCCAATTTCCTAAACCTCTGCTGTTTCTCCTACAGCAGAGTTGGAAGCAAACTAGCAGTGAAAGGATCTTTGAGCCCCTGGCATACTTTTCCACCTCCCAACAAGAACTTCCCTGCCATACCTTACCTGGACAAGGCATCTGTTGCGTGCACATCATGTTCCCCTGCCCAGTAACTACAAGCAGTCCTGGAGGGCTGAACCAGTAACTTGCACTTCCAAGTGGAACTCCTCTGGCAGCTGAGAAGACAAGTTTGGCAAAAGAGAGACTCTAATTTGTTCAATGCAGATGTACAGCAGCTACCAACCAATTAATAGGGTGTTAACCATCATCTTACACAAGTGTCCAACAATGCTCCTAGGATATAAGATAAAACACATACACCTCCCTTGTCCTGAACTGTATGCTTTTTGAGGGCAGAGACTGTGTCTTATTTGCCTGTGCTTATTCAGGGCCTAGGATAGCACCTACCATAATAAATATTCAGAAAAAATTTCCAACTGAGCTTCGATCAAGTTGGCAAGATACATCTATTAAAAACCAATGTAATGGCAACGTGATACAGAAGAAAGCACTTCTGTTTGTCTCCCTCTGCATCTCTCTCATAAAGATCCTTGCGATGGCATCTGGGGCGCACCTGGATAATCCAGGGTAATAGCCTCAAGACCCTTAAATGAATTACATCTGCAAAGATTCTTTTTACAAACAAGGGAACATTCACAGATTCTGAGGACTAGGCAAGGATATATCTTTGGGAGCTATTATCAGTCTACTACACTAATTTCTGGCATCTAGCATCTGACCACAAGTAATAACACTGCTTCCAGGCCTGGCCCATGCAAGCTTTCCAGGTGAAACATTTGTTCTATTTCCCTCTCTGCTGGCTAGCCAGAGAGGCTGTGGAAGCCATGTGTTAAAAATGGCATAGACCCTATCACCCTGAGTCCCTGAAGGGTTATGTAGAACACAGCCCCCTTTTATCCCTGCTGATTGACCTTTAGATAAGCAGTAATATCTATTGTCTTAGGCTATTGATAATTTGGGGTTTATCTGTTTCAATAACTAGCATTATCTTAACTCATTCATTCTAAATCTAAACTTATCTAAATCTAAAGTTATCTAGATCTAAATCTAAACTTATCCTCCTTTTCAATATCCTATTAGTATCCTTCCCAGAAATATTATTTTACTAACTTACATGTTTGCATATTTCTTTTTTTTTTTTTAATGTTTATTTATTTTTGAGAGAGAGAGACAGGATGCGAGGGGGTGGGGAAGAAAAAGGGGCAGAAAAAGATGGAGACACAGAATCTGAAGGAGGTTCCAGGCTCTGGGCTGTCAGCACAACTAACAAGCCATGAGATCGTGACCTGAGCCGAAGTCCAATGCTTAACCAGCTGAGCCACCCAGGCACCCCGTTTGTGTATTTCTTATATGACTCTCACTAGACTGTAAATTTAACAAAGGCGGGGGACTATGTATGTCTTATTCACTATTGTGTTCTCAATCATCTCAATCATACCATAGTGTTTGGTATACAATAAGGGTCAAACAGTCAAACCATAAAGTATGATGGGTAGTTAATTCCAAAGGCCTCATGGAAGCCCATCTCACAATCCCTGACTCTTGCTGGGAAAGCAGGGGTAGGTTCCCACACCTAAGCCATGATATAATCAGACCCAGAGTAGGTTCAGACATTTGGTCAAGTTCACCTAAGTTGCCTAAACCCTTTCCAAGAGGCTATGTAACTGCTAGGACTCTGTACCTAGCTTTGCAAGCCAAGAAGCATAACTTTTTTTTTAATTTTTTTTTTAACGTTTATTTATTTTTGAGACAGAGAGAGACAGAGCATGAACAGGGGAGGGGCAGAGAGAGAGGGAGACACAGAATCTGAAACAGGCTCCAGGCTGTTTCAGTCCGATGCGGGGCTCGAACCCACGGACCGCGAGATCATGACCTGAGCTGAAGTCGGACGCCTAACCGACCAAGCCACCCAGGCGCCCCTAGAAGCATATCTTAATAAGAGCACTAAGAAGTTTCCCTCAAGTTGCCTGATCCTTAGCCCATAATCCTAAAAATAAGCTCTCTCTACTGTGAGGCGAAAAATAAGGGCAAATTCAGGACCCAGTATGCAATTATTCTGAGTTTTCCAGACATCTGTAACAAAGAAGAACTGGACTTCCAAGTATCCCCTGCCTCTGGGTTCCACATGGCCATACTCTGTGAGCCAGGACACCTTGTTATCCAACGTCAGGCTTTAGATGCTGTCTGCCTTCTGGACAGTGAAGAGCTGTTGGCTGGGTTCAGTATGTGAACGCCTTGGTCTTCATATCTTGCATTGTATCATTAAAGGTAATATTAAACATTTTCTTACTCCTCAATTTCCTGTATATGGCTTCTCCACCACCTGTCTTTAGCATTTCTGTCTTGCTAAGACCACCACAAACTCAAATTTCCACATGCAATGCACACTTTTCAGTCTTCATTTTATCAAACATCTCTGCAGCAGCTGACAGATGACCACTCAGGAATGCTTGAAATATCTCTTTCTTGACTTCTGGGATAATAAACTCGATTCTCCTCCTACCTCAGTCAGCCCCACGCTACCCATCCCTTCGATGCTGAGGACCTTGGAATACCATCCTTTATTCGCTGAATAAGCCTTTCACTCACATGGCTCCAGAGATGACCTGTGTGCTGAGGATCTCCAAGTGAGTCTCTAGATACAGTTCATCTTTGTGGTTCTGAGCTGCCGGTCCGCTGGCCTCTAGCATTCCAGTGTACCTCACTTCAATATGATCCAGAGGTTAAGGGTATAGGATCAAAAGAGCACAGCATCACTTACATACTATACTTATACAGTATTTCTGCCAAAATGCAGGACCTGCACCTAAGCATGAAGAAACAGATAAACCCAAATCTACAAAACAATAAGCCTGTATTCTTTTAAAAATGTTAATGTTGGGGCGCCTGGGTAGCTCAGCAGGTTAAGGGTCTAACTGTGGCTCAGGTCGTGATCTCATGGTTCATGAGTCTGAGCCCTGCTTCAGGCTCTGCGCTGACAGTGTGACAATGCAGAGCCTACTTAGGTTTCTCTCTCTCCCTCTCTCTGCCCCTCCCCTACTCACTCTCACTGTCTGTCTCTCACAATAAATAAATAAGCTTTTTAAATAAATAAAACTGTCAGTGCCAAGAAAGACAAAGAAAGGCTGAGTCCAGACTAAAAGAGACTAAATAAATAGGACAATTAAATTCAGTGTGTGATCTGGGATTAGATCCTGGATTGGAAAAATAAACAGTGTGCCATAAGAATTAGGAAGAGTGATAGGTTAATCATTTGAATTTGAATATAAACCAAATATTAAATAATAGCATTGTTTCAGTGTTAAATTTTCTGAATTTGATAAGTAGACTTAGGGTAGATAAAAGAATACCCTTGCTCTTAGCAGATACACACTTGAATACTTAGGAATGAATGAAATGAATTTTGTAACTTACTCCCAAATAGTTCAGTAAAAACAAAAACAAACAAAGAGTAAGATAAAGCAAATGTGGGAAAATGTTAATGATGGGTGAATCTAGATGAAGGGTCCATGAGAGTCCATTGTAAATTCTTGCAACTTTTCTAAATACAATTTTTTTTTTTTAGTAAAAAGTTTAAAAAGAGAGTGAGAGTATGTTTAGGGTCCAGATTCTAGCTCTATCAGTTTCTACCTGTATAGCCTTGGGAAACTGTAGAACCATCACTGACTCAGTTTCCCCAGTTATCAACTGGGGACAATGATTGTACCTACAGCCTAAGTTTTTGTGAGGATTAAAAAAATTGACACATGTAAAGGGCTTGCAACACTGCCCACTGTATGGCAAGCATTCAATAAATGTTAGTATTATTATATCTAAAATTGAACTCGTTTCCTCTCCAACTTAGATGGTCTCTTATATTCTTAACCGTGGTTTATAGTATCATGATCCAGTCAGTCTTCTGAGCTAGAAAATTCATTCCACCCTCTGGTGTGTCCCCGGCACTTTGCCCATGCCTCTGTTTTGGAATATTTGCATGTGTCTGTCTCTTCTAGATTGTGTTCATCTCAACTAGATTAGAGTTGGGGTGGAGGCAAGGGAGAAAGAGAAAGCATTCCAGATAGAGCAAATTCCAGGGCACCTGGCTGGCTCAGTCAGTAGAGCACGTGACTCTCGATCTTAGGATCATGAGTTCGAGCCCCATATTGGGTGTAGAGTTTACTTAAAAAATAAAATTAAACAAACAAATTAATAAAGTTATCCAGGTAGAGCAAATAGCATGAAGGCTCGGAGATGAGAGAACAGGGCACAAAGAAGTCCAGCTGGACTGGAGTACAAAAGCTGAGAGAGTAGGGGCATGAAATGAGACTAGATTGAATAAAAATATATCACAAAAAAGATTATTTGTATTCAAAGTCTGAAAGAGTTCTCTGGAACATCTGTTAGATCAGTGCTGTAGGGCTGGAAAGTACCTCTTCCCTCTTCTCACGGAAGACGGGGATTAAACCTAACAGAAGCAAAGGCAAAGCCAGAGAGGAAAAAAGACAAAAGGCGTGACAAAGGAAGAAGAACTCAGGCAACTGGGGATTCCTGATCTGAAAATGAGAGTACTCAATGATGTATGAGACCAACATTTAAAAGGACAAAAGAGGGGCGCCTGGGTGGCTCTGTCGGTTAAGCGTCCGACTCTTGGTTTCAGCTCAGGTCGTGATCTCACAGCTTTGTTGGTTCGAGCCCCACATTGAGCTCTGCACAGACAGAGTGGAGCCTACTTGGGATTTTCCCCCTTTCCCTCTCTCTCTGCCCCTCCCCTTCTCACGCTGTCTCTATCTCTCTCAAAATAAATTAATAAGGGGCGCCTGGGTGGCGCAGTCGGTTAAGCGTCCGACTTCAGCCAGGTCACGATCTCGCGGTCCGTGAGTTCGAGCCCCGCGTCGGGCTCTGGGCTGATGGCTCGGAGGCTGGAGCCTGTTTCCGATTCTGTGTCTCCCTCTCTCTCTGCCCCTCCCCCATTCATGCTCTGTCTCTCTCTGTCCCAAAAATAAATAAACGTTGAAAAAAAAAATTAAAATAAATAAATAAATAAATAAAAATAAATTAATAAGCTTTAAAAAATACATTTAAAAAACATTTAAAAATGGACAAAAGATTATCAGGTATAATTAGTGGTTCAAGTGTCTGAGTATAAACTTCTGCTAGCCTGCAAACTCCTTTAAGACAACGAGGGACTGAATAATCTTGTTCCCAGCATGTAGTATGGTACTTGTGCCATAGTAGGAAGCTCAGAAAAAGCCTGCTGCATACGTGTGCAACTACCAACTGCCTGACGTAGAGACCTAAGTCGTGGCTGGGTAGCCGTCCTACTTCAATTCCACAGGCCTCAAAACCCCAAAGTGTTTAGTGTCTTTATTAGCATTGCTCACCAGCAGAGGCAGCTTTCACCATCAGCTGGGCAAATTCGATGGCACCTCCTTTTCTGAAGGCTAATTTAAAAGTAGCCTGTCCTTCCCAGCCACCTGGGGGAAGAAATGGCACACTAAGATGCTGGCACCACTGGTCAGAGAAGGACAGCCCCAGACAGAGAGACAAGCACTACCCAACAGAGCAGTGCAGCTTTCTTTGAATTCCAGCATGAGCCAAGTCTGAATCTTAAACCTTCTGGAAGCTTTTGAGGGAAAAAAAATACACTTCTGAGAGGGAACACTCACCATCCGGAGCTGCCTGAATAGTCCCTTTAATGTAGTTGGCAGCAAAGACCGGTTGTTCAACGGTGCAGTTACTCATCAGATCAAATGGCATCATGAAAGAAAACATGGGATCACTGACTAAGTGTGAAGTCACGAAGATCACCTAGGAGAGGAAAGAAACTTCGGAGAAGGCATGCAGCTTGTCCACGGACTGAGACATATTAGACCAATTCTAAGGTCGAGGCTGTTTGACATTCCGGCCTGACTGAGAAACATCACCCGTGTTCTTCCATATTCTCCAACATGGAAAATCATAAAATGCCAACTTTGAAAGTCAATGTTAACTCCCTCTCCATTTGAAGGAAAACAAATGTAGCGGTAATAGGTCAAGGTAGAAGTAGAATTACCCGGTATGAAGTGAGAAACAGTGTCCCCCTCTTTGTACCACTGAAGAGACTGGATCTCTCTGGTTGCTGTGGGAAGGAGAGGTCCACATCCTGAGACTGCATCAAGACACTGCAGAAAAGAAAGGGCAGACACCACACGATTTCGAAGTTATATGAAACGACGCACATAAAGTTCTTAGCACAATTCCAAGCCCAGAGTAAACACTCAATGTTAGCTGCTGCCGCTACTATCACTATTGTATTGAAATAGAAAGGAATTTAGATCTTATTCTCTGACTTTTCACACTTACTCCTCTCCCTCTTTACCACTGGATTCTTTTTTTCTTATCAAGCCTACCTTCTTCTTAATGTTTATTAAGAATAACAAATAGGGGCGTCTGGGTGGCTCAGTCGGTTAAGCATCCGACTTCAGCTCATGTCATTATCTCACCGCTTGTGAGTTCGAGCCCCGAGTCAGGCTCTGTGCTGACAGCTCAGAGCCTGGAGCCTGCTTCTGGTTCTGTGTCTCCCTCTCTCTGCCCCTCCCTTGCTTGCGCTCTGTCTCTCTCTCTCTCTCTCTCTCAAAAATAAATGTTAAAAAATTTTTAAGGAATAATAATAAAAAATGTATTAAAAATAATAAATAATAATAATAATTCTTATTCTTCATATGCAAGAAGTATAAAGCACTGTGCTAATGGAAATGTTTCTTTGACTCTCATAGAAATGGCAAGACACACAGAGTACTCCAGATTCCTCTGACATGTTATTCCCTCTGCCTTTTGTGTTCTCCCCTCACTCTTAACCTGAGAAACTTGGACTCATCCTATTCCCACTCATAGAATCCTATTGGGTTTCTCTTCTTTCTTAGTAATTATTGTAATATATATGTATGTTTATGTGTTCAATGTCTTAACTAATGATCCTGCCTTTGCACTGTGGCCCTAGCAAACAGTGGGTGCTATTAAATATTTATTGAAAGAATGAATGAGTGAAAACATGAATAAACATAATAATGCAAGCAGTAATATCACATACATCATGTTAATGGCACAAAAATGTCATAGCAATTTAGTGGAAGGAGGGATTAGCTTTGGTTGAAATGACTAAGAATGACTTTATAGAAAGGTTGAAGTTGATTCTTTCTAAGTTTATTTGTTTATTTTGAGAGAGAGAGAGAGAGAGTGCGCATGCATGCGCAAGTTGGGGAGGGACAGAAAGAGAGAGGGAGAGAGAATCCCAAGCAGGCTCCACTCTCAGCACAGAACCCAATAGCCCCACATTAACCAATAGAACACGTTAAATTAACCGTGAGATCATGACCTGAGCCGAAATCAAGAGTCAGATGCTTAACCAACTGACCCACCGAGGCACCCCTGATTCTTAAGAGAAGAGTAGTGTTTCAGTAGGCAGAGGTGAGGGTAGGGGATGATCCAGATGGGGAGCAAACAGCATGAACGGAGGTGCAAGAGCAGCATTAATGGTGGTATGCGGTGGAAAGCAAGTTGCACACTTGGGAGCAGCCCACCTGTGTGGATTCATCAAAGCAGCATGGAGGTGAAGGTGGGAAGAATAGTGAGATATAGTTCGAAAGCTATGCTGGAACCAGAGCCTGGAGATATCACTTAATAGGCAAGGAGAATCAATCAGGAGGTGGTGGTTTACTAGAGGTTAAGAAATCCTAAGGGGCACCTGACTAGTTCAGTCAGTAGAGCAGGCAGCTCTTGATCTCAGGGTAATGAGTTCGAGCCCCACACTGGGTGTGGAGATTACTTTAAAAAAAAAAAAAAAAAAAAAGAGGGGCACCTGGGTGACTCAGTCAGTTGAGTGCCCAACTTCAGATCAGGTCATGATCTCACAGTTTGTGGGTTCGAGCCCTGCATTGGACTCTGTGCTGACAGCTCAGAGCCTGGAGCCTGCTTGGGATTCTGTGTCTTCCTCTCTCTGCCCCTTTCCCACTCATGCTCTGTATGTCTCTCTCTCAAAAATAAATAAACATTAAAAATTAAAAAAAAAAAAAGAATCCCTAAAATAGTCCTGATGTAAGGTAATAAGAATTGGAACTAGGGTGGTGGTATGATGATAAAAAGGGCTTTTTAAGACAATGAAAATACAATGTCAGCAAAAATAGGGAACTCCAAAAGTCAGTCCAGAAGTTTGGAATCTAATCAAAACCTTATAACAACTAAGAGAAAGTTTAGTCAAGAAAAAAATAGCTGAGTCTGATAACAGAGCTTTGTGACACTTACCCCAGTACCATCTTCCAATCCCCAGCTTGGCAATAGCCTTAAAAACAACCCACATTCCTGGTGTAAGTACTGAACACCAAAGGGAGCAGAATAGACCTTATTCTCAAAGAACTCTTGTTTTAAAACTTTTCTGGTGGCTTCCTGAAGGGCAGGCTCCAATGGTGTGTGCCTAATTCAGAACTCTCCCAGGACTGAGGTGACTACTCAGGGTCCATTTGTCAAAAACATTTCAAGGTAAATGTATTAGTTGCTGCTGTCTGGGGCAAAGGATGACATTTAGTGCAAACAAACTGAAAAGTTAGGGAGGAAAGAAAGGCTAGAGAATGAGATACTTTGGGGAATAAAGGCTTTGAATAGCTCTGACGTATTCATGGGAAACTAGAAAGTCACATGCATGCCTTCCGAGGCCTGGGTTCATGCTCAGATGAGAACTGAGAAGGTCCGAAACTTTTACCTCTGGATGACAATGAGGCTCTGTTCAAGTAAGAAGTGAAAGCTAAGACAGAGCTGTAAACTGCCTGGCTGAGTGATAAAGACATGCTCCAAACACACAGGCAGAGCCCATCTACAAAGGCTGGAATTTTTTATTTATTTATTTTTTGGTTCCAGATATATAAGAAAGTTGTCAAATCACTAGTTGGCCACTAAGTTAATATAAAAGAGACTTCAGTGGCTGCATGTGACAAAGACTATAAGCTTTGCAAATTTTATAATTTAGAAAAGTCACTAAACAAACAAAAAATAAGTACAGCAAGCAGCAACAATGTACCCTGAGGAAGAGAGAAAATCTGATTTCCAGAGTTGCCATATTATAATCTTCAAAATGTCTAGTTTACAAAAATTTTTTAACATTTTATTTTTTGAAAGATAGAGAGCATGAGCAGGGGAGGGGCAGAGAGAGAGGGAGACACAAAATCAGAAGCAGGCTCCAGGCTCTGAGCTGTCAGCACGGAGCCTGATGTGGGACTCGAACCCATGAACATGAGATTGTGACCTGAGCCAAAGTTGGACACTCAACCGACCAAGCCACCCAGGCACCCCAAAATGTCTAGTTTTCCACAACAACAACAGCATCATGAGGCATGCAACAAGAAAGTATGGCCCATATGTTCTTCTGTAAACAGAAAATGAAATTAATAGAAAACTGCCCTTGAGGAAGCCCACACATTGGATTAACTACACAAAGACTTTATTCTTTTTTTTTTTTTTTTTAAAGGAAACCTACCCCTAGTGTGGGACTCAAACTCATGACTCCAAGATCAAGAGTTGCATGCTCTACCTACTGAGCCAGCCAGGGGCCCCATTAGACAAAGATTTTAAATAAACTATTTTAAACATGTTTAAAGAGTTAAAAGAAACTATGTCTAAATAACCAAAGGAAATAATGAGAGCAATGTCTCAAAAAGTAGAATATCAATAAAGAGATAGAAATTAGAAAACTGAACCAAATAGAAATTCTGAAGTTGGAAACTACAGTAAGTAAAACAAAAAATTCAGTAGTGGTGGGTTTAATGGCAGATTTCAGCAGGCAGAAGAAAGGATCAGTGAATCTGAAGATAGGTCCATTGAGAATAACAGTCACTACCTAAGTAACAGAAAGAAAAAAGAATGAAGCAAAATGAACAGAGTCTTAACAGACCTGTGGGACAAAATCAAGCATACAACCATATGCATAATGAGACTGCAAAAAGGAGAGGAGAGAATAAAAGGGGGCATAAAGAAAATTTGAACAAATAATGGCCATAATCTCCTCCAGTTTAATGAGAGACATGAATCTACACATCCAGGCTCTACAAACTCCAAGTAGGATTAACTCAAAGAGATCCACACCAAGACACAAAATCAAACTGCTGAAAGCCAAATACAGAGACTCTTGAAAGCAGCAAGAGAAAATCATCATCATGCACAAGGAATCCTTAATAAGACAAATAGCTGACTTCTCATCAAAAACTATGGAGGCAGGAGTAGTAGGATGACATATGCAAAGTGCTTAAAGGAAAAAAATCTGTCAACGAAGAATTCTATATCTGGCAAAACCATCCTTCAAAAATTAAGGAGAAATTAAAACATTACCAAGTAAACATAAACCGAGAGTTCATCACTAGTAGGTCTGAACTATAAGAAATGCTAAAGGAAGTCCTTCAGCCTGAAATAATAAGACACTAGGCAGTAAATCAAACCCATACAAAGAAACAAAGAACATTGGTAAAGATAACTACATAGGTAAACATAAAAGTCTGTATTGATGTATTTTTGGCTTGGAACTCTTCATTTCTTCCTATATGAATTAAAAGGCAATTGCAATAAATCTATGGTGATGCATACACAATGTATAAAGATGTAATTTGGGACAATAACAGTATAAGAGGACAGAGTTATATAGGAACAAAATTTGTTCATAGAATTAAAACAAAATTGTATTAATTTGACCTAGATTGTTATAAATTAAGATGTTAAATGTAATCTTCAGGGCAACCACAAAGAAAATAACTAAAATATATACAGTAAAAGAAATGAGGAGGGAATCAAGATAGTATGTTAGGAAATATCTATTAAACACAAAGGGATGGGGTGCCTGGGTGGCGCAGTCGGTTAAGCGGCCGACTTCAGCCAGGTCACGATCTCGCGGTCTGGGAGTTCGAGCCCCGCGTCAGGCTCTGGGCTGATGGCTCAGAGCCTGGAGCCTGTTTCCGATTCTGTGTCTCCCTCTCTCTCTGCCCCTCCCCCGTTCATGCTCTGTCTCTCTCTGTCCCAAAAATAAATAAACGTTGAAAAAAATTTTTTAAAAAAATAAATAAACACAAAGGGAGGCATTAATGGAGGAATTGAGATATAGAAAATAAAGAGCAAAAGAGCGGAAGTTAAGTCCTTCCTTATCAATAATCACATTAAATGTAAATGAATTAAACTCTCCAATTAAAAGTCAGAGATTGGCAAAATATATATTTTTGAAAACATGATGCCACTATATACTGTCTACAAAAGACTTACTTGAGATCCAAAGACACAAACAGGTTTAAAGTGAAAGGATGTAAAAAAAGATATTCCATCAAACAGTAGCCAAAAGAGAGCTTCAGGGGTTATACTAATTTCAGAAAAAACAGACTTTAAAACAAAAATTACTACAAAACAATATTATATCATGATAAAAGGACGAATCATCAAAAACATATTACAAATATAAACATGAATGCATCTAATAAAAGTCAACTAGACCTAACATATAAGGACACTTCACCCACAAAGTACAATACACACTCTTCTCAAATACACATGGCACAGTCTATAAGACAGACCACATATTAGGCAACAAAACAAGTCCTACTAAATTTATGAAGATTGCAATCATACAGTATCTTTTCTGATCAAAATGGAATGAAATTAGAAATAATAACAAATTACCAAAAATGTGAAAATTAAACAAAATGCTCTTAAATAACTAATGGGTCAACAAAGAAATCACAAGTGAAATTTGAAAACAGAATTGAATTACTAGAAATTAGAAATTTGGAGATGAATAAAAATGAAAATACATATACCAAGCTTTTGAGATGTAACAAAAGTAGTGCTTAAGAGGAAAATTTATGCTTTTAACGCCTGCAAGTTTTAAAAAAGAGAGATCTCTGGGCACCTGAGTGGCTCAGTCGGTTAAGCATCTGACTTCGGCTCAGGTCATGATCTCAGGGTCCGTGAGTTTGAGCCCCATGTAGGGCTCTGTGCTGTGCTGCCATCACAGAGCCTGAATCCTGCTTCAGATTCTATGTATCCCTCTCTCTCTACCCCTCCCCTGCTCGTGCTCTGTGTCTCTCTGTCTCTCAAGAAATGGATAAATGTTAAATAGAGAGAGAGAGACATCTCAGGGCACCCGGGTGACTTAGTTGGTTAAGCACCTGATTCTTGATCTCAGCTCAGGTCTTGATTTTAGGGTCATGAGTTCAAGCCCCAAACTGGGCTCTGCATTGGACATGAAGCTTACTTTAAAAAGAGAGAGAGAGAGAGAGAGAGAGATTGAGATCTCAAATCAATAATCTAATTTTCCACACAAGGGAACCAGAAAAAACAAGACCAAACTAAACCCAAAGCTAGCAGAAGGAAATAAATAATAAAGATTACAGGGAGAGAGGGAGAGAGAGAATCCCAAGCAAGCTCTGCACTGTCAGAACAGAGCCTGATGCAGGGCTTGAATTCATGAACTGTAAGATCATGATCTGAGCCAAAACCAAGAGTCGGATGCTCAACCAACTGAGCCACCCAGGGCCCACCCCTAGAATTTTTAATATTTTTTAAAGTACTTATTTTTTTTTGAGAGAGAGAGAGCAGGAGTGGAGAAGGGCAGAGGGGGAAAGAGGGAGAGAGAGAGAGAGAGAGAGAGAGAGAGAGAGAGAGTCTTAAGCAGGCTCCATACTCAACATGGCGCCCAACAAGGGGCTCAATCATACAACCCTGGGATCATGACCTAACCCAAAATCAAGAGTCAGATGCTCAACTGACTGAGCCACCCAGGTTCCCCTTAAAATACATTTTAATCTTTTAAAAAAAAGTCTATGTCCTCTGATGCCACAATTGCACTTTAAGGAACATATCCCCAAGAAACATTTTGACAGGTAGGCAGAGATTAGTTTTCAAAAATGTTCATGAAGCAATGTTTATGGCAATGACAAATTACTACACCCTGAACATCCCGAATAGAGGCTTGAGCAAAGATTCATGCATATTGGAATACCAGTCATTGAAAATAATGATGTAGATATTGATACTGGAGAGTATTCCCAATATATTGGTAAATGAGGAAAACAAATTACAAAGCAGTCTTGAGTGTGGGGGAGTTGCATATATTTCCATGGAGGAAAGTGCAGAAAGACATATACCAAAATGTAAAAAGCACTAGATGTTGGAGTCTGGGGCGATTTAAATTTTTTTCCAATTTTTCTACAATAAACACATATGGTACTATCTGTACAAGTTTTAGAATATTGGTTAAAAAAAGAAAACTCAACGTCTTCCCTATTTACCAGTAGAGTCTTATCTGTACAATTATGAATTCTCAGCTGGGATTTAAAAATCTCCACAGAACACAGCCAGTGTGATGAGTTTCTCAAATGTGTATTATGAATAGGCAAGAGAAGTCAAAAAACAACCAATCTTCTCCTTCTCAACCTATTTCTTTAAAGTAGTTTCTATCAACATCAAAAGAACCCCAAATAATCCACTTAAAAATGGGCAGGGGAACTGAGTAGACATTTCAACAAAGAAGACCTACAGATGGCCAACAGACCATGAAAAGATGCTCAACATCACTCATCATCAGGGAAATGCAAATCAAAACCGCAACAAGATATCACCTTACACCTGTCAGAATGGCTAAAATCAAAAAGACGAGAAATATTGGAGAGGATGTGGAGAAAAAAGAACCCCTGTGCACTGTCGGTGGGAATGTAAATTGGTACAGCTACTATGGAAAACAGTATGGAAATTCCTCAAAAAATTAAAACGAGAAAAAAATTAAAAAGAGAAATACCATGTGATCCAATGACTCCTCTACTGGGCATTTACTTAAAGAAAATGAAAACGCTGATTTGAAAAGATACATGCACCCCTATGTTTATTGCAGCATTATGTACAATAGTCAAGATATGGAAGCAACCTAAGTGTTCACTCACACTTAGATAAGGCAGATGTGGTATGTACACACACACACACACACACACACACACACACACACACACCCCAGAATATTATGCAGCCGTAAAAAAGGATGGGATCTTGCCATTTGCAACAACATGGATGGACCTCGATATTACACTAAGTGGAATAAATCAAACTGAGAAAGACAGATACCATATCATTTCACTCACACGTGGAATCTAAAAAAAAGAAAAACAAATGAATAAACCAACAAAAAGCAGATTCAGACCTATAAATACAGAGAACAAATGATGGTTGTCAGTGGGACGGGGGTGGGTAAAATCGGGGAAGGGGAGTGGCAGATACAGCCTTCCAGTTATGGAATGAATAAGTCACAGGAATATAAAGGCACAGCATAGGGAACAGTCAGTGACGTTGTCATAATAGCACTGTGTGGTGACACTTCTGGTGAGCATAGCATAACTTACAGAGAGATCTATTCACTATACACCTGAAACTAACGTGAATTGTGTGTCAACTACACTCAAAATTTAAAAGTAATAATAAAGTAAAAATAGAGGAATACAGCATTTCTACACAGGAAGCGGGCGCCCCCACAGGGTGGGGCATCTCTGATGAAGAGAAAGCCCAGAAGCGGTCCTTTTCCTTTCTGCGGGACAGCTGGAGTTGAGCAGTTCAAACCCCAATCAAAGGTCTTCCACATGCAGGGACCACATGATTGTAAGCAAATTCCTTCTCTTTCTTTCAGTTTCCCCACCTGTGAAATAAGGGGATCCTCACTGTAGATAGAGCAGTTAGAAGTATAAAGCTCTTTTTTTTTAATTTTTTTTTAACGTTTTATTTATTTTTGAGACAGAGAGAGACACAGCCTGAACGGGGGAGGGGCAGAGAGAGAGGGAGACACATAATTGGAAACAGGCTCCAGGCTCTGAGCCATCAGCCCAGAGCCCGACGCGGGGCTCGAACTCACGGACTGTGAGATCGTGACCTGAGCCAAAGTCGGATGCTTAACCGACTGAGCCACCCAGGCGCCCCTAGAAGTATAAAGCTCTTAACCAGTGGAGACGATTACGTGCTCAAGAGCACAGAACGGACCCCATAAAGATCATTCGAAGGACCATAGGATCAGCGTGTGTGTTGTAATTTTTTAGAAACAAGCTTCACGCCCCGCCTCCAACGCACGCAGGGAAACAGACAAACCCGTAGCTGAGGGAGAGGACGCCGACACCCCAGATCAGAGGTGGCCCCCAGGGCACAGAGCCGCCGGCACCCAGGCGGGTGTGCAGGGGACCGGCATCAGGGCGGTGGCCGACGCTCCCCTACTACACAACTACGCACAGCGGCACAGCACAGGTCCTTCCGGAGCCGGAGAAGACGCACGGCCTCCGCCGCCCGTGGGAACCCGGCAAGAACACTTTCCCGGGGGAGGAAGCAGAGGAAAAAGAGCCATCATCCGGACATCGGCTTTCGGGGCTGTCTTGGTGGATCTTCCCGACAAAGGCTCAGTCTCGCCGCCACGCGCGAGCGAAGGAAAACGGGGACAAGTGGGGGCGGAGGCGGCAGCTGGGGAGTACCGCGCCGGAGTCTGGAGAGCCGGGCGGGAGGAACCGACGAGAGGGGCCGCGTGGAGCGGAGGCCTTAGGCGGGAAGGCGAGCGAGCGGCGGGCCCCGCAGGCCCCGCGCACGGCCACGGGCGCGGCCCGGCGAGCGTCCTTCTCCCCAGACGGCTCTTCTTTCCGTCCCGATCTTTATTTACAGGGAAGTAAGAGCCATCAGCTCCCCGTCGGGGCGAAAAGAAAGGGGGCTTCGGCGAGCGCCCCCCACCCCCCCGATGGCGCGGGATCCTTCAGAGGGATCCACACCGCCGCCCCTTCCGCGTCCGCGCCCCCGGGAGTAGGGGCGGGGCGCACCCAAGGCCCCCCTGTCGCCGTCACCCCACGGAGGTTTGTGCTTCCAACGGTGCCCCGGAGGAACGGCGCGACACCCCACCACTGCCAGTGCCCTCCCGCCTTTCTTCTGGGGCGACGCGCGCCTCGCACGGCGCACCCGCCCTTTACCTCAGCGAGGCCACGGGCTCCAGCCTCTGCCCACTCTGTGCGCCGGAAAGCCCGCGGGGTCTCGAGCGCCCGCGAGGAGGGGGCGGGGCTCAGCCAGCCGAGGCCGGAAAAGGCGGGAAAGGCCCTGATTGGCTAAGAGTTTCCAAGCCGCCAGTTCCACCCGTCGTCGGTCTATCCCCGGCTCTGACAGCACCCCTCCCCACCAGCTTCCCCTCGGGCACCTGTCGCTGGAAGGAATGAAAGCCCCGCGGCGGTTCTCGGTGTGGCTCTGATTCACCGCCATCTTGCCCCAGGAGCCCTTCTGTCGCCCCTCAGATGGAAAGGGGCGTGGCCTGTGCCAAGCCGGGGGGGCGGGGCTTTGAAGGGGAGGTGCGCCAAACCGGGGGGCGGGGCTTTGAAGGGGAGGACGGAGATTATGGCGCAAAGACAAGGGGGGGTGAGTTGAGTGGGCGAAGGGGCTGGTCACGTGAGGGGCGGTGGTCAGAGAACCAGGTGTGTGCCACCTGGGACTCCAGCTGGTGGGGGGGGGGGGAATTGACCCCGCCCCAGAGTGCGGGGGTGTTGAGTGGTAGGTGAGTGGGTTCCTGGATCCACACCTACCCTCTTGGCCACAACATGGTAGCTGGTTGCTGGGCTGCCCTCGGGAATGGATTGAATGGGTCAGGAATCAGAAGCAGGATTTTCCTGCGTGCCCCCCTGGCCTGGGTCAGAAGGCTAATGCATTTTGGAGAAAGGATCCAGAAAGATTTCTCGCTTCTCCTAAAGGCAAGCAGAACAACTTTTCCCCACCAGAGAAAGCCTGGAATCTGAGCTGGTTTCTTGTGAGGTTAGCATCCAGGAAAGGGTGAATGAACTGCGTCGGGGGGGGGGGGGGGCCAGTCTGAGCCGGTTCCAAGATAGAGAGAACCTTTGGCATTCATCATACCAGCCCTGCCTTCTCCAAAGGGTGAGAGTGAGGATCCGGTGGGATACAGCATACTGGAATTGCTTTGAAGACTAAAATATTGTACATCTTCTTGTTTCTTTTAGACTTCACAAAATAGCACCAAAGGGCTTCAAGCAAAGGGATGGTAACGTCTGGATTACCGTATTTCATCAAGTTTAAGATGCTGTCAGTTATACGATGAACCATTTTTAAATGTACCACGGAGGGGAAAAAAGTTGCCAAATAAAGACGTCATCAGTTATAAGCTGATTTTTTAAAAGCAATCTCTGGGGCGCCTGGGTGGCGCAGTCGGTTAAGCGTCCGACTTCAGCCAGGTCGCGGTGAGTGAGTTCGAGCCCCACATCAGGCTCTGTGCTGACTGCTCAGAGCCTGGAGCCTGTTTCCAATTCTGTGTCTCCCTCTCTCTCTGACCCTCCCCCGTTCATGCTCTGTCTCTCTCTGTCCCAAAAATAAATAAACGTTGAAAAAAAATAAAAAAATAAAAGTAATCTCTACACCCAACACGGGGCTTGAACTCATGCTCTGGAGATCGAAAGTTGCATGCTGTACTGCCTGAGCCAGCCAGGTGCCCTAAGCTGATTTTTATTTATTTATTTTTTATTTATTTAAAAGTTTTTTAAATGTTTATTTGTTTTTGAGAGAGAGAGAGACAGAGCTCGAGAGGGGAAGGGCCAGAGAGAGAGGGAGACATCCGAGCTGTCAGCACAGAGCCTGATGCGAGGCTCAAACTCACAAACCGTGAGATCATGACCTGAGCCCTGAGCTGAAGTCGGATGCTCAACTGACTGAGCCACCCAGGCACCCCTTAAAAGTTTTTTTTTTAAGGTTTATTCATCTTTCAGAGACAGAAACAGAGTGTGAGTGGGGGAGGGGCAAAGAGAGAGAGGGAGACAGAATCTGAAACAGGCTCCAGGCTCTGAGCTGTCAGCACAGAGCCTGACGTGGGGCTCGAACTCACGGACCACGAGATCATGACCTGAGCCGAAGTCCGCCGCCCAACCGACTGAGCCACCCAGGCGCCCCCCCATGATTTTTTTTTTAAACCTAAGACTGTTGGAACAAACAAAACAATAGGAATGGTGTGAAGCTATAGAAAGACCACTGAGATAGAGCCCCCGTCTTGCACTGGTAACTAAGTGTGCAACTTTGGGCATCAACCATGCTCTCTGGACTTCTGTTTCCATATCTGTATGAAAGAATGGGACTAAAAGAACTGTTTTCCCTTAGCTGTGATATTTGAAGTTTGCAAAACTACTCTGTCGCTCAAATCTTCCCACCTCTCCATCTTGATGTGGCAATTGCCCTCTGGTTCTGGTCCTCATCATTTTACCTGAATGACTCCCCCCCCCCCCCCCCCGCCGCCCCACCGTTCTTCTATACCTTGCATTCACCCTACAGAATACCGAGGCTCCAAACACAATTGCGTATGGTCATCACATTCAAATTCAGAAAAATAGCGTGTGGTGTTATTCGCTGGCCGCAGAAGAGACCAGGAACCTCAAAGAGAGGAAGTTTGGTTTAAGTTTGGAAAACACAAGAGAGAAGCTAGTGCTTAAAAGTTAAATTCTTTAAAAAAAAATTTTTTTTAATGTTTGTTTTTGAGAGAGAGAGAGAGAGAGAGAGAGAGAGAGAGACAGAGCATGAGCGGGGGAGGGGCAGAGAGAGAGGGAAACACAGAATCCAGAGCAGGCTCCAGGCTCCAGGCTCCGAGCTGTCAGCACAGAGCCCGACGTGGGGCTTGAACTCACAAACTGTGAATCATGACCTGAGCTGAAGCCGGACGCTTAACCGACTGAGCCACGCGGGTGCCCCTTAAATTCTAACTCTTAAAGCATTCACTGTAAAGCAGGCAGGTCTCTAGGCAAGATGGGTCCACTCCTTCCATAGAGTTGGGTTTCTTGCCTTCTGGAGAAAGGAGAGAAAGGCTAGGAAATTCATTAAGTGAAAATAAACCCTGTTTACATTGAAGGAGACAGATTACACAGAGCACAGCATCCCTCAAGGTCTAGCATACTAGCTCCATCGCCCATGTTGGGTACAAAACCCCAGGGAGGGGCGCCTGGGCGGCTCAGTTGGTTGAGCATCCAACTGTTGGTTTCGGCTCAGGTCATGATCTTGCAGTTTGTGGGATTGAGCCCCACATTGGGCTCCACACGCATGATGCCGAGCCTGCTTGGGATTCTCTCTCTCTCCCCCTCTCTCAGCCCATCCCCTGCTCTCTCTCAAAAGAAATAAACATTAAACATACACATGGAATAATGACCAAAGTCCATCCTCAAGCCAAATGAAGAAAAATTGGACTCACAAAATGTTTTCCATCTATAGTTTCTGTGGCTACTTCTTACCAAGATGGTCCCTATCTCACCCTCCGCCCATGGGTGAGATGATGTAATGGCTAATTTGTCCAAGGAGTGAGCACAAATGAGACACAGGCCAAGCAGTTATTGTTCAAACAGCAATGTTTAGTTGTACAGCACATAAAGTCTAGCAACATTTACACAACCAGTTTGAGTGTCTGTTGGCTTGCTTTCAACTGGGAAATTTAACCATAATGTCACCAAAAGGTTGGCTGGGACTGGTAACATTTAAGAAATGGGTCGTTCTTGCATCCCCTAGGCTTGGGCCTCTTGCTCCGTCAGGACTGAGTTGTAGATGAATGGCCCACAAGTCACCAGCCTTTGAGAAAGTAGTGTCCAGGTGGAGATGGTAGGGGTGGGTGGGTGGGGGGAGGGGATCCCATAAAGACACAGTATGTGGGGCAGTGGCAGCCAACATTCGCAAACATTCATGCATCTGATGGGGGGCTCTGCCCTCCAGTGGGCATTTTCCACCAGCCTACAGTGACCGACTGTGGCCAGGCTAATTCATTACTCACATTAACGGGGTGGAGGCGGGGATAGGAGTAGTCGGGGTAGGTGGGAAGGGATCCCTCTTATTGCTAAGTGGACAGAAGGGTGAGTTTTTTTTTTTTTTTTTCTCCCTAGAGTTCCCGTTTTGTGGGGTTCTGGAATTTTCTGTCTGTTAAGTTTTTTTTTTGTTTTTTTTTTTTTAAAGTTTGAGGATAAGGAAGGCAATTCCAGAAATGTCTCTTCAGGAAAACCACTCTTCCTAAGTGGCTGCATTATGGGGGCAGGGGTGTGTGTGTGTGTGTGTGTGTGTGCGTGTAAGACTGCATCCTGGGCCAGCCACAAATGGTGATTTTTTTTAAGTGACCCTAGCCCTTGCTCCCCCCACATCTGTAGTGACCCATCATTATAAATAAGCTTTAGGCAATGAAGGAGACACCCTTGTCCCACACTGGGGCTCACACAGCTGACATCAACAAACCTGACAAGCAGAAAAGTTGCTTTCTTGACCCTTGAAGGAAGCCAAGAGGAGCTCATGCAGATGAACGGGCGGGGAGCAATGCCATTTCTCTTGGAGATGGTTACAAGTAGCTGGTATGGGTTTGCAAGGGCAGAAGGAGCTCCTGATGAGTTCTTTCACCCTACGGATGGGCTGGGACCGGCTGACACGGACGATGGAGGAGGGCAGTGCTGGCGAGAGCTCCGTTCCACTGGGAGGAGAGGGGGTGGTTTGGATAAATGGAGGAAGCCACTGTCCTAAGGAGGCAGCTTGGCCCCTCCAACCTGCTGAGAGCTGAGGGGGGCTGTGGTGGTGGGCTGGGCAAGCACGGCACTAAAAAGGCCACGGCCCCGCAGCAATAA